GGTTGTTGTGAGCTATGATGCCACAGCACTCTACCAAGGGTGACAAAGAGAGACTCTGTCTCAAAAAAAAAAAAAAAAAGCATTTCCCCCTGGAGCTCCATACTGCCTCTGAAGACACATAGCTGAGGCTTAGAGTGGGCAGTGAGCTGCCCAGAGTCACATAGCACCAAATGGTGGAGTTGGGACTCAAAATCTAGTTGTAACTATTCCACTACATTTTTTTTTTTTTAGAGACAGTCTTGGGCTTAGGCGATTCTCTTGCCTCAGCCTCCCCAGTAGCTGGGACCATACGCACCTGCCACAATGCCTGGCTATTTTTTTGTTGCAGTTTGGCCGGGGCCGGGTTCGAATCCGACACCCTTGGTATATGGGGTGGGCGCCTTATTCACTGAGCCACAGACGCTGCCTCCACTACATTTTTTAAAGAAACAGGACTAGAAAGAAGGAAAGCCAGGTTCAAGGGCCTGCAGAGAACAGCTACCCTCTAGATCACTGATTTTCAACCAGTGTGTTTTTATTTATTTATTTATTTATTATTATTATTTTGAGACAGAGCCTCAAGCTTTTGCCCTGAGTAGAGTGTTGTGGCATCACAGCTCACAGCAACCTCCAACTCCTGGGCTTAGGTGATTCTCTTGCCTCAGCCTCCGAGTAGCTGGGATTATAGGCACCCACCAGAATGCCTGGCTATTTTTTGTTGCAGTTTGCCTGGGGCCGGTTTTGAACTCATCACCCTCCATACATGGGGCCAGTGCCCTACCCACTGAGCCACAGGCACTGTCCTATTTATTTTATTTTTTTGAGACAGAGTCTCACTATGTCACCTTGGGCAGAGTGCTGTGGCATCATAGCTCAGCAACCTCCAACTCTTGGGCTTAAGCAATTCTCTTGCCTTAGCTTCCAAGTAGCTGGGACTACAGGTGCCTGCCACAATGCCCAGCTATTTTTTTGGCGTAGCTGCCATTCTTGTTTGGCAGGCCCGGGCTGGGTTTCAATCCACCAGCCCCAGTGTATGTGGCCAGCGCCCTAGGTGCTGAGCTATAGGCGCTGAGCCTGGTATGTTTTTAAAGATCATTCTTTTTCAACTAAGTTCAAAGCACAGTAAGTATATTCTTTCCTTCTTTCTTTCTTTTCTTTCTTTTTTTTTTTTTCTTGGAGAAAGAGTTTCACTTTGTCACCCTCAGTAGAGTGCCATGGTGTCATAGCTTATAGTAACCTCCAACTCTTGGGCTCAAGTGATTGGTTCTCTTGCCTCAGCCTCCTGATTAGCTGGGACTACAGGCACCCACCACAACACCTGGCTAGTTTTTTAGAGAGGGGGTCTTGCCCTTGCTCAGACTGGTCTCAAAACTGTGAGCCCAGGGCAATCCACCCACCTCGGCCTCCCAGAGTGCTAGGATTACAGACGTGAGCCACCGTACCTGGCCAGGTTTGAATCTACCACCTCTGGTATATGGGCTGGTGCCCCACTCCTCTGAGCCACAGGTGCCGCCCCTACTCTTTTTTTTACAGACAGAGTCTCACTTTATCGCCCTCAGTAGAGTGCTGTGGTGTCACAGGTCACCGCAACCTCCGACTCCTGGGTTTAGGTGATTCTCTTGCTTAGCTTCCCAAGTAGCTGGGATTATAGGCTCCTGCCACTACACCCAGCCATTTTTTTTGTTGTTTTGCAGTTTGGCTGGGGCTGGGTTTGAATCCGCCACTCCCAGTATATGGGGCCAGCGCCCTACCCACAGAGCACAGGTGCCACCCCCTTTTACTCTTTTTTGATCAACACAATTTAAGTGTGCTGAAGAAGTTCAGCCATAGGTTGAACCATAGGTTGATAAAAAAGGTTGAAAAACACTGCTCTAGATCAGGCCTCCAGGATCCTAATCCCAGGCCACCACCCTGAAGTCTGTAGGAGCTAGGGCCCTGTTTTGCTGACTCTCTTGCCATCCCTGCCTGTGCCATGCAGTCCTTCCAGGCCACCTCCTGCTCTGCGCTGCCTTTGCATATTTAGCCTCCCCTGGCCTCAGTGTCCCCTTCTGTAATGAGAGAGGGGAGTGGGTATGGGAGTCTGACAACCCCCAACTCTGCTGAGTCTGTGAATCAGGGAAAAAACCTTCCTGCATTTCTCAGCCTGCCTACCAGTTTTCCTTCTAATTTAGAGCTCCTAAAATCCTTGGACTCCCTGGAGCACCTTTTGCATGCTAATAAAATGACTGGTGGCCAGTCTGAGCAAGACCAAGATCTCTTCTCTAAAAATAGCCAGGCATTTTGGCAGGTGCTGTAGTCCTAGCTACTTGGGAGGCTGAGGCAAGAGAATCACTTGAGCCCAAGAATTGGAGGTTGCTGTGAGCTATGACGTCATAGCACTCTACCAAGGGTGACAAAATGAGACTCTGACTCAAAAAAAAAAAGAAAAAAAAAAAAGACTAGTGGGAGGCAGGGGTATAGATAGAGGGAGGAGGGCCTAGATAGAGTCAGGATGGGTGGGGTTGGTTGCCAGGGGGATTAGAGGGTTAAACCATAGGATTTAGAGGGTTAAACTTTCAGTCTCTTTGAATTCCACTGAGGGGATAGGGGCTTCAGGTCAAGCCAGTAGACCACTGGCCAATGATTTAATCTATTGTGTCTATGTAATGAAACTTCCATAAGAACCAAAGGACTGAGTTTGAAGGGCTTCTGGAGAGCAGATCACCCAGAGTGTCCCGGAGGAAGCTTCCCCACAACTCGCCCTATGTATCTGTTTGTCTGGCTGTTCATCTGTATTTTTTGTAGTGACCTTTACCATAAATGGGTAAATGTAAGTAGGTGCCTTCCTGAGTTCTCTAAGATACTCTAGCAAATTAATTTAAGGAGGAGCGGGAGCCTGTAGCACAGTGGTTAGGGCGCCTGCCACATGTACTGGGGCTGGTGGGTTTGAACTCGGGCCAGGCCTGCTAAACAAAAAAAAAATAGGCCAGGCGTTGTGGCAGGCACCTGTAGTCCCAGCTACTAGGGAGGCTGAGGCAAGAGAATCACTTGAGCCTAAGAGTTTGAGGTTGCTGTGAGCTGTGACACTACAGCACTCTACAGAGGGTGACAAAGTGAGACTCTGTCTCAACAACAACAACAAAAAATTAATTCAAGGAGATCATGAGAACCCTGACTTATAGCATAATCTGGGCTTGTGACTGGCATCGGAAATAGGGGTGGTCTTTGTGGGACTTAACACTCAGCTTGCTGGATTTGATGTTGTGTCTAGATAGACAGTGCCAAAATTGAATTAAAATAGAGGACACTGGCTTGGTGCCTGTAGCTCAAGCAGCTAGGGCACCAGCCACATATACCTGAGCTGGCGTGTTTGAATCCGGCCCAGGCCTGCCAAACAACAATGATGGCTGCAACCAAGGGATGGCTGGGCATTGTGATGGGTGCCTGTGGTCCCAGCTACTTGGGAGGTGGAGGCAGGAGAATCGCTTGAGCCCAGAAGTTGGAGGTTGTTGTGAGCTATGATGCCACAGCACTCTACCCGGAGCGATAGCCTGAGGCTCTGTCTCGAAAAAAAAAAAAAAATAGAGGACCCTTAGCTAGTGGCCACTAGAGATATGCTTTTGATATATGAGGGAAAAAACTCCACACCTGGGGTCCCGGAAAGGTTCTGTGTTGTGCAAGTAGAGCCTGATAGAGCTGGACTTCACCTTATCTGCAGAGGAGGTCACATGGCTGCCTGGCCTACCTCACAAGAGGACCAGGATCCTTTGAGGCCCAACCCGGAACACAGCCCGTGGGCCCAGTTCCCCTGGCTCTCCTGATTCAAACACTATGGAGCAACCAAGCAGGAAAGGGAGGTTCAAGATCTTTGTGAAAGGCTGGGTGCAGTGACTCACGCTTATAATCCTAGCACATTGGGAGGCCGAGGCAGGTGGATTGCTCGAGCTCAGGAGTTCAAGACCAGCCTGAGCAAGAGTGAGACCCCATCTCTTAAAAACAGAAAAACTAGCTGTGTATTGTGGTGGGCACCTGTAGTCCCAGCTACCGGGGAAGCTGAAGCAAGAACCTCAGGAGTTTGAGGTTTGTGTGAGCTAAGATGATGCCATGGCACTCTACCCACAACGACAGAGTAAGGCTATCTCAAACGAACAAACAAAAAAAAAGATAAGCGAAAGAAAAAGAGAAAGTCCCCCCCTTTTTTTTGTAAAAATAAAGGCAACAGGCTGGGCATGGTAGGTCACATCTGTAATCCTAGCACTCTGGGAGGCTGAGGCAGGTGGACTGCTTGAGCTTACAAGTTTGAGACCAGCCTAAGCAAAAGGGAGACCCTGTCTCTACTAAAAATAGAAAAACTGAGGCATGAGGATCACATGAGCCTGAGTTTGAGGTTGCTGTGAACTATGACACCAAGGCACTCTACCTAGCACAACAGCTTGAGACTATCTCATAATAAATATATAAATAAATAGCAATAATTTTTTGTTTTGAATATTAGAGACAGATTCTCACTTTGTCACCCTTGGTAAAGTACCATGTCATCACAGCTCACAGCAACCTCCGGCTTTTGGGCTTAGGCAATTCTCTTGACTCAGCCTCCCAAGTAGCTGGGACTACAGGCTCCCGCCACAATGCCCAGCTATTTTTTGTTGTTGTTGTTGCAGTTTGACTGGGGCTAGGTTTGAACCTGCTGCCCTTGGTATATGGGGCCGGTGCCCTACTCACTGAACCACAGGCGCTGCCCAATTTTGTTTTTGGAGACTGTCCTCTACTCCGTTGCCCCTGAGTAAGTGCCATGACATCATAGTTCGCACCAACCTCAAACTCTTGGGCTCAAGTGATTCTCTTGCCTCAGCTTCCCAGGTAGCTGGGACTACAGGTACCTACCTCAATGCTAGGCTATTTTTAGAGACAGCATCTTGCTCTGGCTCAGGCTGGTCTCAAACTCCTGAGCTGAAGCAATCTACCCACCTCAGCCTCTCAGAGTGCTAGGATTATAGGTGTGAGCCACTGCACCTGGCCTAATGCTTTTTAAAAAAAATGTATAAAGGGCTCTGCGTCCACAGTTCAGTGGTTAGGGCTCTGGCCACATACACCAGGGCTGGCGAGTTCGAACCTGGCCTGGGCCTACTAAAACAACGATGACAACTACAACAACAACAAAATAGCCCAGCATTGTGGCAGGCACCTGTAGTCCCAGCTACTCGGGAGGCTGAGGCAAGAGAATCACTTAAGACCAAGAGTTAGAGGTTGCTGTGAGCTGTGATGCCACAGCACTCTACCAAGAGCGATATAGTGAGACTCTGTCTCAAAAAAATAAATAAAAATAAATAAAATAAAATAAAAACGTATAAAGGTGTTATATCTCTACCCACCTGGGGCCAAAGCCAGGGGCAGGAATGGGAAGATTATTAAATCTTTGCATTTTCCTGTAGCATCTGCTGTGTCACTAGTGACAATGGGTACCTGTTCCTTCGCATTTAAAACAAGTAAAAAAAGGGGTGGCACCTATGGCTCAGAGGAGTAGAGCACCGACCCCATATGCTGTAGGTGGCAGGTTCAAATCCATCCCTGGCCAAAAACTGCAAAAAAAAAAGTCAAAAAAGACAATATTGGCTCGGCGCCTGTGGCTCGAG